CGTCAGTTTCGAGTTCGAGTCAATAATATATTTTCCAATGTAAATTCCCTTAAAAATGGTATACCACAAGGCTCCCCGCTCTCTGTAATTTTATTTATTATTGCTTTTGATAAACTTACTGACATTTGTTTAAATATTAAGAACATTAAGCTAACTTTGTACGCGGATGACGCTATTATTTATACAAATTTAAAAGATCCACTGAAAATTAACGAAGCTTTTCAAAAAATACTTTTAGAATTTAAAAAATGGGGTCCCCGCACCGGAGCATCTATTTCCATTTCAAAATGTAAATTACTACATATTTTCAAAAAGAAAAATTGTAATTATCCTCTACTTATATTTGATAACACTGCAATAGAATCTGTTAACTTAAACTTAAAAACCTTAGGAATTTTTTTTGACAACAAATTTAATTTTAAATACCAATGAATTAGTCTTCGAAAAAACCTATTCAAAAGGCTCAATATAATTAAATACTTATCTAGTAARCGTTCATTTATACATACAAATACTCTAATTAATATTACAAGAGCCAYAATACTCTCTAAAATCGMTTATGGCTTACCGATTTATGGATGGTGTGCCAACACAAATATAAAGCAATTGGAGGCTTCATACCATGCTGCGATTCGCCGTAGCATAAATGCGTTTCCTACATCACCAGTAAAAAGCATCTTGGGTGAAAGTGGTCTACCATCAATAAAAGAGAGAGTTTACGAAACGACGGTCCAACTACTTCAACTGCTAAATTCGCCAAACACTGATCTTCATATAATGCTTAGAAAAGCCGCAAGACACAAAAAAAAATTCCAACTTAATTCCACGCTTCAACGCTGCCTTGGGTATGGCACAGCCATAAACATACTTCTACCATCCAAGACGAGCAAAATCAACATTCAAATGGAATGGCTAATAAACGAAGTCACTATAGATACCTCATTGCATAATTTCAAAAAATTGAATACCAATAATGCCACCTTCCAACAATATTTTCTTGAAATCGCTAATGAATACAAGCGTAAAAAATTTTCGGCTATTTATACTGATGGYTCCAAAGCAACAAATACAGCTTTCGGAGTTACAACATCCAATGGRACAATCATTACAGGCGGAATTCTTCCTTCTCATTCATCTGTTTTCACTGCCGAGGCTTTTGCCATCCACAAAGCTTTAGAATATACCACCCGACAAAAAGGCAAGTTTGTAATCTGCTCTGACAGCTTTTCTTGTTTAAATGCAATCCGTAATATACGCAATAACTCCACAATAATATCAAAAATTCGAGACATATGCATCAAAAACAAACGAAAAATAGCTTTGCTCTGGGTACCAGGCCACGTCGGAATTGCTGGGAACGAGCATGCAGACAATGCCGCTAAGTACTTTGAGTCAGCACCGACTCTTCTCCATGAGTTAAATGACGAAAATGATCTTAGAAAACTGTTACAAAAGCATGTACAGGAAAGAAGACGCGCGGACTGGAGAAATTTCGAACACCCGTATAAAAASTTCAACCCACTTCGAAATAAAATTTACTACCCTAGCAATATATTTCGACTGCAAGCAACCGTATTCACACGTTTAAGAATCGGCCATACACAAATCACACATCAGCACCTACTCACCGGAAATCCTAAGTCATCTTGCCCCTTCTGCTCCAACACACTATCCGTGGACCACATCTTACGCACCTGTCCAGCTGTAGAGAGTATTAGGCATAAACACTTTATTTCTGCTCAATATCAAACACTGTTAAAAACACCATCTTTTGAAAATATTACATGTATTTATAATTTTCTAGTGGAATGTAACATACATAATACGATATAATATAGATTTGTTATAATATCGGAGTCGATGGCCAAAGCTGCTCGCACTCCTCCTTATCACTAGGTTTAATAGCCCTTATATTTTTCCTAATAAATGTAATAATAATAATAAAGAATTCAACACAACCTCAATAAAATTTTTCACAGACCCCAAGCTAGTAGCAAAAATAATTTCAATAGAATTTCTTCAAAAATTTAACGTTCATATCCAAAAAAAAAAAATTAAATGTTTTCGATCGAAACAATTTTGTACAAAAAAAAAAGGTTTATTGTTAAAAACGAGAAAATTCTATGCCTCATTATAACAGTTATTCAAACTCAACCAAAGTGTCAAATCTCAACAATTGCCAAACAGCATCATGGTTCTCAAGGGCTCTAAAAAGTCAAATACTACACAGCGAAATTACCGCGACTGTAATTACGAGCGAGAGCGCACCGACTGGATTCGGTAGAGTTCTTAATATGACCAAACAGGCTTACCCTAATGTTGCTTTAGCAAGAAGTGGTGTGTTTTGGTGGTACCGGGACTTTTTGGAGGGCCGRGAAGAGGTCGCTGATGGAGACCTGAAGAATGTGAATGTACGATGCTCATTGTCTCTTTTGACCTCAAAGGCATCGCCCACCTTGCATTTTTTCTCTCGGGACAAACCGTCAATTCCAAGTTTTACGAGGAATTCCTCAAGAGACTCAATRTTGGAAGGGTTGATCGAGTCCGACAAGACCTTGCAGCTGATAGGAAGTTCCACCACGCAACACCCCGGCCTACGCCTTTCTTGTGAGCTGCTACTTAACCAAGACCCAACGCCACGACAGCCGCCCTACAGCCCAAATATTGCTCCTCAGGAGTTTTTTGTTTCGTTACCTGAAAGAGCCGATGAAAGGCAAGCTTTTTGAGATGACGATTGTAACAATTGCTTCAATATTTTTTTTGTTTAAATCGACTCAGTCCTATTACTTTCCGGACAAATCCTGTACAAGATATTACACGTACAATGACCTACAATCAAAAGTAAGCATAAAAAATTTCCAAAAAGGCCGGTTTGTTTTAAGTTGAGCTTTACCTTAGGTCCTTAGGGCAACGCAAGTTCTAATATTTTAGTATGTTATTTTAAAACGTATAATATATTTATCAATATATATGAAAAATCGGTTTTTCCGAAATTCCACACTAGGTGAAATACTTTGGAGAATTTATTCAATTCGTCTTCTAAAGCAAACTGCAGTCGTTGTAACAAATTAATGCAATCAGTAAATGCATCACTTTTGACACTACTATGGAATTTTCTGATTTTTCTCCTTAATTATAAATAGGGGGCATATTAACCCAAGATATCAGAGAGGTGAAGATGGCTAGGAACTCACTGCTTTTGGTGGCAGATCACGGAGTACGCAGAAAAAGTTTTAATTATTATTGGAACAGATGTTGGTTCGCATCATACAGCCTGGGTATGGTTCCTCCTTTATAAATAGGGGTAAAAGGCGCATAGAAGCGTGACAGTCTATTATCGGACTATTATCGGATATTCTCTTTTCCAACTACAGATACAGTAATTTCAAAGTTTATATCGGAGATATTGAGCTACAGAGGCCCAGAACAAACTGGAGCACTTATGTGACCTAACTGAATCGCTCCATATCTACTCCCTCAGTACCTGATCCGTTAAGTTTTGTGTTAAACATAGGTTTAGCAGTGTAAACGGTCTCATTATTGGTGCCCTGGATGAAAGGGGAACTAATGAACCTACGTCGGAACTCTCGCAGGGCCTTTAACAAAGCTAAGCTTTTCAATAGCATGAAATGTCCAAATGCTTTTCTCATATTGTGAATATAAATATAGGCTCAGAATGGCAAAACGCCACTTTTGGCGTTTATTCTGTGGTCAAGAAGACAACGTGCATAAGTGAACTTAAAAAAAATTTCGAAAAGTCATATACAGACCGTACTTATGGTTGACAGTCAAAGGTATACTGCATTTAACATGGAGGATACAAAAATATAATATTGTATATAATTATGGTTACCAAAGCATTTAGTAATTGCGAACATTTTGAAACAGTAACGGTGCAGATCTACGTTCTGTAGGATAGCGGGAAATACACCATCCGTGTCGGCTGCAACTTCGCAACTACTAAACGCTTTGTTCACCACGTTGAATATACCTGAAATTTTAACAAATATTGAAATATTTCACATACATATTATTCAGAGCATTTGTAATAKTATATATAATAATTTTATTTTAATCTTAATCTGACCTCATTCCTCACTTACATTTTGCAAGGGCCTTTGAATCAATGATGTAGATTTGGATCCATTTATATTATTCATAATAATTGAATTATTACAAGACGTACTTTGCAATCTAGAGTGATCTGATTTAATGTTTAACTTATGGTCGCCATTGATCAAAATACCCGCATCTGCAAAAAATGTGTGAAAAGTTTATTATTATTATTTAAAAAAATAATTTATTGTATATAAAATTTTCTGGACATGGAGGCAACTCAACAAACCATATCAACCGATAAAAAAATTGCATTTATTAAAATTTTTCAAATTATGCATTATATTCATTACAATTTTGTTCTTAATTTCAGTTATATTCGTATGTATAAATTTGGTAACGACAGTTTACTTATGTATGAATATTAGCAATTTAGAAGGAATGGTAAGATAATATTTTATACTATCGCAATTTGTGAGTAAAATCAAGTTAAGAACGCAAACGAGATACATACTACAAGGAGCGTTCCAAACTAAACAGGACCTTATGAGTCTAGCACCCCTTGTGGCGACATCTACATATATGTCGGATGGTGCGTTAGAATCTGATATCTTTTTATCGATTATCCATTGAGAATTTCGTGACATTTCATTGATTGAAAGTGAAGTTATTACGTTTCAGTATGTTTTCGCACCGATAATGAGCTTCGAACAAAGAGCCAACATTAAATTTTGTTTTAAAATTGGAAAAACTTTTACCGAAACGTTTCCATTAATGAAACAAGTTAATGGTGATGATTGCCTATCCCGTAGCAAAGTGTATGAGTGGTTTCAATATTTTCAAATTGGTCGTGAGGACATAAATGACGATCAACATGTGATCCAATCAAAATCCGTGATCACCGGAAATTCCATCGCAGTTGTGCGTGAATTCATCAAAAATCGACAGAAATCATCATTGAAATTCATGAAAACTGAAGCAAAAGGAGACTATATTTAATAAAATTAATTGATTTTACCGAAAAAAACATTTGTTCGTTTTGTTTTTAAGTCCTGTTTTCTTTGGAACGTACGCCTTGTATATGCAAATGGGTCAAACTGCGTCAGGTGGTCCATGAAATATTTCTTCAAAATTATATTAATTATTCTATTTTATTAAAGTTACTGAAGGTTAACCCTTAATAGCCTGATTTTTTTTTTGAGCTCAAAAAAATATATGTTATAAAACTCACGATTCTGAACAAGATTTGTTCTATAACTTTGTTTGCAAGTGAAAATTACCTCAGCTAGGTAGAAAAACCCTGGTTGGTTCCTAGCGGAACCACTAAGCTCCCGAACTTCAAAAATAAACAAGATGAGTTAAAAAMAAAAACATTTTTATTTCGATGTTGGTCAATGTTTTTGTGTGCTGTTGCATGTCGATTTGTCTTTTTTATTGTAAGAAAAGGATATACAGGATACACCACAGAAATATATACTACACCAT